TAATGTAAAATCAGTTGCTTGATAGAATAGTATATAAATATCTACTATGTCAACTTAGTTGATAATAATATGCAAGTTATCTCTCTCCTTAATTTTATGCCTACTTATTTGATACCTTAATGAGAGAAATGTTGAACTCTATAGGTGTATCTTTTTCTTATCAAATCTGTACAATTAAGGTAAAAATTTTTGATAGCATATAGTTGGTTTTTGCTTTTCAGTCCAGTCTAATAGTCTTTCCTTTAACTGCTGTGTTTAGAGCATTCATATTGAAGGAGATTATTGATAAATTTGGATCAAAGTCTGTCATCTTGCTAGCTTTTTTCTGTTACATTTTTGTTACCTCTGTTTCCATGTAATTGAACATTTTTATAATTCCATTTAACCTTCTATTGACTTGTTAATTTTACATGTTTTTATAAAATTTAGTTTCATAGAAGTAAATTAAAATTTAGGTAATTTACATCTACCTTCTAATATTCTCCAACTTCACTCAGTATAAAAACCTGCTAACATATTTTCAGATCTCCCTTTCCATATTGTGTTCCTTATCATTTCTTTTACTATTATGTTTATTATGATGCATTGTTATAATGGATTATTAATGTTATTGCTTTGAGTTGTCACATGTTTTTAGAGCAATATAAAATAAGAAAAATAGAGATCATATTTAACTGGCTGTTTTAGAAGAGAGGAATACCATGGTCCTTTTAAAATGCAATTATTATTACTTTGGTTGTTGTAGGGTACAAGCAGAGAGACCAGATAGGCTGTTGCTCTAATCTAATTGATGCAGCATAGTGGTTTGTTCATGACAGCTGAGATGCCTAGATTTAAAGCTATTGTAGAGTATTTGAATATGAAATTTACACTGAAACACTAAAACATGACCAGTATCCTTGTTGACCTCATAATTCACTTAGAAATAATCACAGTAATTTCAGTAAGCATCATTAGACACATAGGGCTAATTAAGGAATACACTGTCATTTGCTGCACGCCACAGGAATATATCATAAGAACTCAGCTGGTTATGGCAAAATCACTACCTGGAGGGATCAAGGATTTCCTCCAGAGAAAGCCAAATTCCAAGGAGCTTTTGGTGTTATTTGGCTTGTTACATATCAGCTGTATTCTGTTATGAAAATCATGTGTGCCTTCATAGTTTTCCCAATTGACTTTTCCCTTGGAAGGGCTAACAGTGTGGACTGATCACTCTCTGGACACACACATTCCAGGAGTTTAGAGAACAGCCTCGGGGAAAGGCTTTCTCCTTTGGAATCAGATATCTCCCTTAGCCACTGTCAAGGGCTACAGGAAACACCACCTAGGGGGGCGCCCAACTTCCGAGGATAACAGTGATAACAGCCCACATGCGAGGATAACAGTGATAACAGCCCACATGCGAGTCTCCTGACTTAAGGTAAATTCCACAAGGAGACACCGCCCAGGTGGTCCCCCAACTTCCGAGTACTAACAGTGATAACAGCCCACATGCAAGTCTCCTGACCTAAGGTAAATTCCACAAGGAGACACTGCCTAGGTGAGGTGGACGTTAAGTAATAGCTTTACACAATTTAGCTTGAACCCTCTCTTTTTATACCAGGAATTCCAAGGCACAGGACAGAGAAGAGAAAAGAGAATGGAAGAACTAGATGGGTAAGAACTTGAGAGGAACAAACTGAGATGGGAAAGAACTAGATTGAAGAGCTAGAAGAGAGTACTAGAGGAACGAGATGGAAGATGAGGAAGAGTCAGATGGGAAAGTCCTAGCTGGGTAAGAACAAGGTGAAAAGGACCTAGATGAGGCAGAATTAAGATGAGAGAATTAAGATAGAACTTAGAGGGAGCAATAGATAACAGAGAGAAATCAGGCAAGAAAGGAGCTAGGCACAAGAACAGAACTGAAGCTGTGTATATGTAGACGTTATGCCAGAGGAATTAAAGAAAGTGGACTATAGAGCTTGGTGTGCTGAGATTCTATTTCCTGAAAATAGTCCTCGCCATTAGTAGTTCTCTCTCCTGAGCCCAAGGGATATATAATATTAAGGCTGGTCCCGCTAATATTATACAAGAGTCATTATCATATTTTCTTAAATTTAGGATTATCCTAGTGTAAACTGATACATTTACATACCTGTCTTATTGGTATTACTGTCTTAGAAAATTATTAAGCCACTTATTGGAAGTTCACCATATTCTAGTAAAGAATATTAACCAATATACCTGCTTATTTAGTTCTTTCTGAATTCTAGATTATATTCTCTTTGTAGAAAACAGGAACTGTCAATAATAAATACCTAATTTAAAAAGGAAGAAAGACTAGGGACACATCTCAGGGGTAGAGTGCTTGCCTTACAATCCCAGGGCTCTGGATTCAATCTCCAATACCAAAATTAAGGAAGAATAAAATTATCTTCTGTAACTTTCTAAACATACTGCCTCTATTCAAAAATAGAATTGGGGGCTTAAGAAATGGCTCTGTGGTTAGCAACACTTGTTGCTCTTGCAAAGGACTGAAGGTTGGTTCCCAGCACCCACATATGGCTCACAATCATCCATAACTCCAGTTCCAGAGGATCCGGCACCCTCACCTCACATACATACATACAAGGAAAACACTCATTAAAATAAAATAAGTAAATCTTTAAAAAATAAAATTTAATGAACCCATGTGTTCCAACCCCTATTTCCATCAACTTTTGTCAGACTTTTTTTTTTTTTTTTGTTTTTCGAGACAGGGTTTCTCTGTGTAGCTTTGCGCCTTTCCTGGAGCTCACTTGGTAGCCCAGGCTGGCCTCGAACTCACAGAGATCCGCCTGGCTCTGCCTCCCGAGTGCTGGGATTAAAGGCGTGCGCCACCACCGCCCGGCCTTTGTCAGACTTTTAAAACATCTTGCTAGCTATAGTGACTCGTGCTTATAATCTCAGCATTTGGAAGGTGAGAAAAAAAGAAGGTTGCTACAAAGTTCAGAACAGCCTGGGTTCCATAGTAAGTTCCAGGCTAGCCAGGGTTATAGAGTTAAGACTGTCTCAAAACAACAACAACAAAAAACTTTTAGCCTCTCTTTTCATGAAATATTCTTAATACAATTTTATTTTGTCTTGACATTTCATTCCCAAATATTTGTTTATCTCAAATTAAGCAAAATTTAAAGCATGTTTTCTTGAGTAGCCATACTGCATTGTAATACCTAACGGTTAATGGTAGTTCCTTAAAGATCCTTTAATATTCAGATGCAAATTATCTTCATTGTCATATTCTTTATGTCATTTTGCAGTTAATTTAATTCAAGTCTAAAAGTGGGCCCACTTGTAATTTGTTGTTTTATATCTTGTATCTCATAATAAAAAAAAAACAGGAATTTTTTTCTTCTTTATTTTTGTTTCATGCCTCTGTCTTATTAATGAAGTTTGGTCAGTTGTCCTTCAGCATTCATGGGATTAACTTGTTCCACTATGTTTCTTGTAGAAGTTAAATCATTTACATTCAGGCTTTTTTTTTTTTTTTTGGCAAGAATACTTCATAGGTGACACTGTCTCTTGTTGCTTTAAATGTAAATATCCATGATGTTTGAGTTCGAGGCCAGCCTGGGCTACCAAGTGAGTTCCAGGAAAGGCACAAAGCTACACAGAGAAACCCTGTCTCAAAAAAATCAAAAAAAGAGGAATTTTTAGTCATGCTAAGATTCATGCTAAGAATCATCAGCAGGTTCAGGCTCAGGTGGTAATGACGTTTTCAAGGTGAGTCCCCTGTAGGATGCCAAAACCATAGGAGTTTTTCCTGAATCAAATATTTTAACAAGAGTTACAAAATGATCACTTTCTGGTTATATCACCACCTCTACATTTATTAGTAGATGTTATGAGAACACCTTGACACAGCACTGTTTAGTTGACTTGAAATATGTTTCATATCAGAAAATCAGAATAAAGAGGAAAAATAAGCATCAATTTTCAGAATAATGAATTGGCACCCTAGCAGCCCCCAGTAGTGTCTCGTGAGTTTTGTTCCTTTTTTGTCTAAATACCATTGCAAACTCAAGGATTTTTATATATTCAGTGTGTTCTAATAAGCTGTAATTATTTCTTCTGATTTTACCACATCTCATGTTTAGTCATTGGTAACCCCTTCAGGCTGTCTTTTGTATCCTTTTAATATACTCCATTGGCCTTGGATAATTTCAGTGCTTTTTGGTTCAACAAGATATTTTGGCTGCATATGAGATGGTGCACATTAGTAATCCCAGTATTCAGGAGGCTGTGGCAGAAGGATTGTGAGTTGTTAACCAGCCTGGACTATATGACAAGACACTGGCCTCAAACTCACTATGTAGCTGAGACTGGCCTTAAACTTCTGATCTTCCTGCTTCTACCTCCTGAGTGATAAGATTATAGACATGTGCTAACTACACCTCTCAGATCTTTTGTTTTAATGGGGGAATTTTTACAGACAAAAAGTAGACAGAAGTGCTGGACAGTGGTGGCGCACACCTTTAATCTCAGCACTCAAGAGGCAGAGGCAGGTGGATTTCTGTGAGTTCCAGGCCAGCCTGGTCTACAAATCGAGTTCCAGGACAGCCAGAGGTGTTAGAAAAACCCTGTCATGGGAAAAACAAAAGTAGACAGAAGAACCTGGTATGGTGGTACATGCTTTTAGCTGAGGATCAAACCCAGGGCCTTGCACTTGCTAGGCAAATGCTCTACCACTGAGCTAAATCCCCAACCAGAGGTACATGCTTATAATCCCAGTACTTGGAAGTTAGAGGCAGAGGCAGGTGGGTCTCTGTTAGTTTGATGCCAGCCTGGTCTATATACCAAGTTCAGGCCAGCCAGTGCTAATTATGTAGTGAGACTCTGTTTCAAAAAAGAAAAAAGTCAAAAAAAGTAGATTGATAATGTAACAAAGCCCTGTAACTACCACTTGCTTTCACAGTTACCAAATATGTTCATGAGTTTTCCATTGCTATAATAAATAATAACTGAAATAATCAACTTAGTAGAAAAGAAAAGTTTTATTTTGACTTGCAACTCTTGGAGCTTTCAGTCTATGACTGGCCTTGTTCTTGTGGGCTTTCAGTGGCACAGTACACTGTGATGGAAACACATGTCAGGAAGAAGCCCATCCACCCTGTGCCTGAAACAAAAGGAAGAAGAGATGAGGCCCCACAGTGTTTTGTGGATATGTCCCCAAAGACATAAAATCTCCCACTATGCACCATCTCTAAAAGTTTCTAATACCTTCAAATAGTGCTTTGGGCTGGGAACTAAGCTTTTAACACATGGGCTAAAATCCAAACACAATTACAAAAAAAATTACACAGGCTCATAGCCAATATAAGACTTAGTTAATTTTTTTTCTTTTATAATATTTCTGAATGTTTTGGTTTCTTACAATATTGTTTTAACATAATGGTTTTGTAATAAACAGCATCTTTTACTACCAGAGTAAGATTAATGAAGTTTTAAAATCCGCTTCTATATATTTGTACTTAGGCCATATACCACTGAGGGTATACAGACAAAACATTGCCTTCTAAGGTTGCTTAGAATAAGTCTTTGTATGCTCATATCACTAACTTGATAGACTCATTTATCTTAGTTTGCTTATAGTTTTAGAACTGCTCTTTTCCCCACATTTACTTTTAGCTTTGAGATACTAACATGCTTTCCAATGTCCAAGTTATATTGAGAGAATTTTTACCTGCATCCATGCCACAACACTTGACTCCCCGCCCCACTTTCCTTCAATAGGTAAACATTTCGGGGGGAGCTTATGATATTTCCCCCTTTACATCACAATCAAGCTTTTTGAACAGGTCTCTGGATTGGAGTAGGTTCTCTAACATAAGAACTTTTTCCTAGAAGGCTACCTTTAGAATTATTCCTCCTTGTAAGGTTTCATTTGATACCCTCTTCTTATCACTCACATTTTCCACAGAGCCTTTTTGCCAAGAGTAAGAAAATGTAAGCTGTTACCTTTTCTTTTACTCAGTACCTATCATAATCTACAGATACTGTGGTGCTGTGAACTCATAGTTAGCTTGCTCTCTAAGTCTGGGTGATTGTACAGTTGACTACTATATTGCTTGCCTTTCCTGTATGTTTCTGTATTAAATTGCAACCCTCCAGTTATTTAGGTGCCAAATATAATAAGATCTTTCTCATTCTTGTGCTTTGTCCAGGACACAGAACTACATTATACTCAGCATTTCATATTTGTTCACTTTAGTATTTCATACTTAGTACTCCATTATTCTATATTGTTTAATGTTTGTTTAAACAGTTTATATCTATTTTCAAGGCCCATTTGTAAATTCCTGGAGGTCAAAACTTCTCCATCACCATAGGAAATAAACTGCTGATCTGTTAGGAATATAGTGATAGCTGAATAAACATTAATTGAAGTGCACATTTTCATGGCCTTGGCCATGCTTATCAACAAATCTGTTATAGTCCAGTTTTACCAAAGATTAAATCATGAATCTTTAACCCAAAATGTAAGTCATAGGGGGTTTTAAAAGCATTCAAATTAATGGATGGGAAAAGAGGCACAAATCTTTCTATTCAGAGGATTAAAAATAAAAAAATTGATCTTTGCTTTTAAAATGTAGCTTTAAGGAGCTGGAGAGATGGCTCAGTGGTTAAGAGCACTGACTGTTCTTCCAGAGGACCCAGGTTCAATTCTTAGCGTCCACATGGAAGCTTATAACTGTCTGTAATTCCAGTTCCAGGGCACCTGACACCCTCATATAGATATACATGGAGGCAAAGCACCAATGTACATAAATAAAAATTTAAAAACAAACAAACAAAAAAGAAATGTAGCTTTAAGATACACTCCAAGGAAAATTCTTTCAAAGAGGTATTGCATTGGTGCCTGGCCTCAATTCCCTTTTGGTTTATTTCCATAGTTGGTGGGCTAGAACTTTGATGGTAAGTAGGGGAGCTGGAAGAAAGGCAGGATGCCTGGTAAGACTTGTGTATGTTGACTTGGATTGTTTTTCTCTCATTTGGTATTTTTCCCACTAGTCTTTGTACTGCTAAATGAGTGGAGATTCTTTGGTTTTGTTTGTTTTGTTTTAAAAAGAAGAATAAAAAACCAAAGAAACCAGACAATTTCCAACATTTGAAAATGTGACAGTAAGGGGGGGTGGAGAGATGGCTTAGCAGTTAAGAATGTTTGCTGCTCTTGCAAAGGACTGGAATTCAGGTATCAGCACCCAAATCTGGCAGCTCAGAAACAACTGTCTGTAACTCCAGCTACAGGGAATCCATTGACCTCTTCTGTACTCCACAAGGCACTCCACATGGTCATACCCACACACATACATAATTTTTTTAAATGTGACGTTAGTCCTATAATAGAATTAGAACTGCTCATCATAGGATAAGACTTAGTGTTTATTTGTTTTATTGACAGGGATAGCAAAAAAAAAAAGCTGAAATGATGTGCCCTTCTATCTACCTCCTTCTTCTTTCCCACCTGATGAAGATACTGGAAATTTCTCAGGGAAGAATAAAAAAAATGAGTGGTGGGTGTAGTGCATACCTATAATCCTAGTACTCAGGAGGTAAAGACAGAAGGATGGAGAAAGGTTCAAGGGCAGTCTTGTCTACATAGTGCCTTCCAGGCCACCCAGGTACATAGTGAGACTATGTCAAAACTCTAAAACAAAAGAAATGCAAGAATTAATTTTACAATATATTTGTATTCTAAGTATTCTAAGTAATGCTAAGAAAACATTTCTTTGGGTTCCTTTTAGGTCCAGTGATTGCCTTGGAATTTAATGGAGATGGTGCTGTAGAAGGATGTCACCTTATTGTAAATGAGATATTCAATGGGACAAAGGTATAGATCTTACTGACTATATCTCAATCTAACTTTCTATTTTATCTCCTTTCCCTTACAACCAAATAGTACTTGTATCTATAGTATATTCTTTAACCCATAGGCTCAGAATCATCTGTAACTCCAGCTCCAGAGGTCTAACAGCCTCTTCTGACCTCTGAGAAAACCAGGCATGTGCGTGGTACACATACATACCTGCAGGCAAAACATTCATACACATAAAGAAATAAATCTAAAAAAATCTTAAAAAATAAAATTTAAAAAAAAACCCTGGGGGCTGGAGACATAACTCAGTGGTTAAAATCACTGACTGCTCTTCCAGAGGACCCAAGTTTGATTCCCAGCACCCACATGGCAGCTCACAACTCTGTAACTCCAGTTCCAGGGGATCCAGCACTAATCACACATAAATGCAGTCAAAAATGCATGCACATAAAATTAAAATAAAGTTAAAAAATAAAACCCTAAGCTTTTGACTTTGTTCTGTAAAGATGTGGCCTGTGGTATTTAAGGGCTACAGAACTAATTTTTTGTTTATTTTGTATTTTAAATAGATGTTTGTATCAGAAAAGAAGGAGACAGCATCTGGAGATGTTGACAGCTTCTATAACTTTGCTGAGATACAGATGGGGATTTGAAGCGGATTGTGGTATTAAGTCCTTTCCAACTTTTATATAGAGAGTTTGATAACATACTTATGTATATTACTCTAAAGCCATTAGTAATTTTTACTAATGCTAAAATTGTTAAAGGCTTTTTTTAAAGTAACTCTTTGAATACCGTATCATTTACTTGAGGACCTAAAATAGTTCATTTAAATTAAGTATTCTAATCATCTTATAAATTATTTAACCTCCTTCAATAAGTTTTCAGTTTTATTTCTTTTCATATAATAGAAAACAGAAGTAGCCGGGTGGTGGTGGCGCAAGCCTTAAACCCCAGCACTCGGGAGGCAGAGGCAGGCGGATCTTTGTGAGTTCAAGGCCAGCCTGGTCTATAGAGCTAGTTCCAGAACAGCCAGTGCTACACAGAGAAACCTTGTCTCAAAAAAATTAAAAAAAGAAAGAAAACAGAAGTGGTTATCAGTTCACAATTTTAATGTTAATTAAAATTTGTTTCAAATCTCTGATAATTTAAACTTTCCAACTTTCCTTAGTGCTGCTCTATGGTATTCATTTGATTGTGTATTTTGTTACTTATTTTCTCTTTCAATTTAGCGGAATTTGTTATTAGGTGATAATTAAATAAACCTATGCACTTTTTTCAAAAATGTATATCCAGTTAAATAATCATTTCCTTCTTGCATTATATGACTAATGAGATTTTGTACATGAAGTTAACATACTATTTTGTAAATTGAAAATTTTTAAAGAAATGGGAATTTGAAAGCTGAGTGTGTAGTGTCATCTGTAGACCCAAGCTACTTGAGTTGTGAAAGTGGAAGAATCTCTTGAACTCAGGAGTTCAAGACCAGCCTTTACAACATAGTGAGACCCTATTTCAAAAGAAAGAAAAAACTAAGATACTCAATAATCAGCATTGCAAATACTTCTGACTGATGCTGGCATTGCTGTTTTAAGAACTAACTACTTCATAAGTAGTATGGCTGTTTTTTTTAAATACAATTGCTAGACGATTCTTCTGTTTCCTAGTAAGGAAAAGTATACACAACATAAAACTATAGAACACCAATCACTAGTAGATTTGAGAGAGGTGATTACTGTCTGATAGCTCTTGTGACTATCAAGAGTCCTAGAGCAAAACCTGTGACTTTTAGGTAAGGAATACTTTTGAGTAAGGTCTGATAATAAGCTAGGCAGGTTATTCAAAATCTCTATACATTTTTTTTTTACTTGTGTAAAGTAATGTTCAAGTATGATAAAAGTTTTGGTTACCTGAAATCATTATTTCTCAAATCCATTTGTTCATAGTAATTTTCCAGGAGGTATGAGAATTGTTCAGAAATACACATTGGTGGATCCAATCTTCAGATGCACAGATTCAGTTCTCAAAGGAAACTGCTTTAGGGTGTGTTGTCATCTAAACTAATCAGTTCTGAAGGTGTGATTGATAGGTTGGTCTTATCACATTTAGCAGCAAATAGGAACAGCTTTCTTAGGCCCATTTAAAGGAATCTGAAACTCTATTTTTATAAAACTGAGACTGAAAATGACCACTTGTAAAAATTCCTTTTATGGTTGTTACTAAAAGTGTATTTTCATGTTTAAAATGCTTTAAGTCAACTTATAACTACCGTGTTGAATTGTTAATATGTAGAAATAATACTTTGTTATTTTAAATGAATAATATCAAGCACCTACATTGTGCCTAGCTTTGTGCTGACTGTCTTCATTTGAACATTTCTTTTATAAAAGCAACATCTACAAAGTCAATGTGATCTCATAAGGTGCAAATAAAAACTGCTGGAAGGTATAATAGAATTTCTATCATATTTTACAAATAATCTTTGCAAATTGTGGTCAGAGGCATTAATGTTTCCCTGAGCTAAGCTAAATTAAATACATTTGTTTCTGTCTTGATTATTAAATGTCATGAGTCACATTTAAAATAATCTCAATACTTGTTTTTTAGAACTAAAATGCAATGTTATACAAAGCAATACGTTGAGTTTTTTATCTTTTCTGTAGCATTGTTCAAAAACTCAGGAATATAATGTAAATGAGACATTAATTTAAGATTTTCCCCACCAAATTTAGCCTGTTAACCAAAGCCTAATATTGTCTACTCAGTTAGATAAGAACTTTTACTGACGTTGGATATTTATTGACATTAATAATTGTCAGTTGACTATTGAATATTTGAAAGATTTTTAAAATAATTAGTTCTATGTTAGTTGTTTCTGCAATTCTAAACTTTGGTAGTAATCATGATATACTAACTACATTTCATTTCTGAGTAGTTTTTAATTCATGAAAAATAAATAGCAATGAAAATGATTTTTATTGTTGTATTTGTTTAAACATCTTAGTTTATTTCTCTTGCATTAATAGTACTGCTATTTTTCTTTTGGATCTGTATATTTATGTGTAGCTTTTATATGTAAATTTATCTAGTGTTTATAAAATATGCTTTGCAATAAATGTTAAAAATTTAAAATGGGTTAACACTTTTTGATGAGTACTTCTATATTTATTCATACATGTACCAAAATTTGATACAATTTTTATTTTGCTTTTGGGTGTTTTGTTACACAATTTTTAATTTTAAAAACAAAATAAAGTGGTCTAATCTATGTCTTCTACTAATGAGAAATGAACTGTATGCTGAGTGAGTGTATATGTGTTTGATGTATATATGTGCTTGTGTATATACACAAGGTACTCTGAAGAAGTGAAAAGAAACATTTTAATATAAGGAATTTCTAGCATAATGTTTTCTCTGCTAAAATAAGTCATTTTATTTTGACTGAATATTTGCTAAGATTAGGCATCTTTCTCCTCCATATTTTAAAAAAAGCTGGGTGTAGCATATACAGTTGTAATCCCAGCATTTGAGAATTCAAGGCTAGTATAGGTTATGCATTGAGTGCCAGGCCAGCCTGGACTACATACATAGTGAGAGCCTGTCTCAAAAAATAAAGAATTGTGATAAACTTTCTTTCAGGTTTATAAAAGTAGATGGTATTTTTATTGTCAAATCTATCAATCTTTGTACTCCTTTCCTAGCTCATTAAACAAATACTGAAAGTGCAAATTAGTTTTAAAAAATATAACATTATGTTTATTTCTACTTATAAAGGTTCTACAAGCACAATAAGAACATTCGGAGCATTGGGAACAAGCAGAAATGATAACACAATAATAAAATTACTTCCTGTTGGATACTTCTTGATGTCTAAACATTGTTTTTCTCATAAAAGATATATTTAAGTTTTCTATATAAAAAGGGAAAGTGATTTTGATGCATATGAAAATTTAAGATGCTCATTCTATACTGTTAGTTCTCCAAGCTGTAGAATCAAGGTGCCTTCAAAACCCATTGACGGACTAGAGAAATGGCTCAGAGATTGAGCATTGACTGCTTTTGCAGAGGTCCTGAGTTCAGTTCCCAGCAACCACATGGTGACCCACAGCCATTTATAATGAGATCTGATTTCCTCTCCTTGACATACAGGCATTTTGCAGACAGAGCACTATATATATAAGTGAATAAATCTTTTTTTAAAAAAAAATTCTAGAAAACATTTTATCTTTTAAAAAGCATCTCCTTTGCAGTAGATGGCAGTTAACACAGAGACCCTCAACTAGTTAACATGCAGAATAACAGACTGTAGAGTGCTGAGTCCTTAATGGGACAACTGCACCACAGCCCTCCCTCCAAAGCTCGGAGATCTTCTTGGAAGAGGAGTTGGAAAGATCCAGAGGTGGTGGATAACATCAAGGGAACTATTTTCTGGCTACAAACAGGCAGTTGCACACATGAACTTAGAGTGATGTGACACCATGCACAAGTCTTGTGCAACCTCCAGCCAGACAAAAGATCACAGCACAGAGGGGGGGAAGGTAGGCACAAAAATCCCACCGCTAGCTAAGAAGCTACTGGCATTTGATAGCTGCTGAGAGAGAGAATCAGGTTTCTTTAATGATGTGACCTCTGGTAGGTTGACCATAGGCTGTGACAAGCCACACTCCCAAAACCATCTAGCAACACAAACTGGACTTGATGGGAGAAAAAAAAATCTCAAAATTGCATGAGAAGGAATTGGAGGATAGGGAGGGTAGTTATGGAAGGAGTTGGGCAAAAAGGGTAAACATGTTCAAAATGTGTCACATGAAATTCCCAAAGACTGAATGTTTGAAAAATAGATGCAGGAAGTGTGATGTAGATATATCAATTGGGATTGGGTTCCCTGCAATCTTTTGATTTCTGTGTTGTGTCCATAAATACTGTTCTACTTCAAAAACAGCACAGGATCCTTAAAACGTTTTTTTTAAGTATAACACTGAAAAAGCCAGCCTTTGTGTGAATGATAGTTATGTATAATAGCTTCAATCTGAAGTATCTCTCAAAGGTCCATGTGTTAGGCTCAGTAGATAAAGGGGCTTGCTGTACAAGACTAGCAACCTGTGTTTAAACCCACATAACGGTAGAAGAAGTAAAGAATCGATTACACATAGTTGTCCTCTAACCTCCACACATGTGCCATGACATGTATGCCCTCTCACAATAATAAAAATTTTAGAAGGTCCATGTTTGGGACATCTGTATTATATTTCCCCTCCAAGGCTTAGGGAACACTGAGGAAGAGGGGCAGAAAGATTGTAAGAACCAGAGGTCAGTGAGTACTACTATGAAGTAGTGTCTTCTGAACATAACAGAGCCCTTACACTACTAAACTCAGCAACTGTAGTTGCCTGCCCAGCATTTGCAATGCTGTGATTGCCTGCCTGATACTTGCACAAGATCAAGCCAGTCAACACTCCAACATGGATAAAGGTAGGGCTTATGAGATTCTGTCCCAACTGTTGAAAGGGGGATGTGGTGGGGTACCTGGGAAGAATTGGGGGTGGGGGTGGATATGATCTAAATACATTGTACTAATATATGAAATTACAAAGAATATACTTGTTTTTGGTTTTTTTGACACAGGGTTTCTCCATGTAACAGCCCTGGCTGTCCTGGAGCTTGTTTTGTAGACCAGTCTGGCCTTAAACTCACAGAGATCCACCTGCCTCTGCCTGCCAAGTGCTGGGATTAAAGGTGTGCACCACCACTGCCCAGCTATACACAATTTTTTAAAAGTCCATGTGTTTGGTCACCAGCCTGTGGTGCTACCAGGAGGTGATGGAACTTTTAGGAAATAGGGTCTAGTGAAGGTCATTGCTGATAAATGCCCTTCAAAGGGATATTTGGACTACCACCCCTTCCCCTTCTCTTTATGCTTCCCAGGCACCATTAGGTAAACAGCTTTACTGTATTTCCAATTCCATGCTATGATGCCTTGCCACAGGCCTGAAAACAGTTAATCGTTTGGCCATGGACTGAAACCTTTGAAAACATGGACTGAAATAAAGTTTTCTCCTTAAAATTGGTTTTCCTCAGGTATTTGGAACATCAGCATAAATCTTAATAGTTGAAAACCTTTTTGATAAGTGAAGTATTTCCTTCACTGCTGACTTGTTTTTCCTTCTTGGTATATACAGAATGTTGGGGAGGAATAGAGATAAGCCATTATAGGTCATCCCTTTGCTTATGACACTGTGGCCCTTAGTGGTAAGATGTTCAGAAACTGATTTTTTTCCTTTTTGGTTTTTTTTTTGTGTGTGTGTGTGATTTCTCACTTCTTGGTGATGGTTCGTTTTCACCTATAAATAGCGAACATAATTGGTAGAGCCTTCACCATTCTCATCCTGCCTCTGATCCTCCTGTCACCTGCCTTCACTGCTCCAGTTTAATATGGTCCACTTGTAATTAGACTAATGAAAAATAACTTCAATTGTGGGACAACTAATTAACTGATGTTTGTTGTGTCCATTAACTGATGTTTGTTGTGAAAGGTAACTTATAAATGTTAAGTATCATTGTGATGAACAAAGTGGATATGATGCTTTTTAAAACAGTTTAGTGGTCTGGGCCATATACCTCACCACAACCAGGCAGTTGAGTAGGGGAAAAAAAGTATAAGTGGCAGTTAGGGCTTAAGTGCTGTGCTCTTACAGTATGTTTCACTTTCAATTGTAAAATGTAGTTTGCTTTGTTAGGCTCATTAGTGAAATCTTTTATACTATTTTTCTTTAACTTATTAACAGATAGTAAATGATTTACTAGTTTTAAGTTTGGGGATGGAGCCCAAGTACTTTGCCACTGAGATATGTACCATCCTTATTTCTCATTAGTATTAGTTTTTAGGGCTGTGAAGAGTCTAATGTTCTCAATTTTTTTATTTTACAGATGAGAAAGAAAACTGAAGGTCAGAAAGTTTGGATGGCCTATCAAGCTCATAGCATAGTCACTGAACTGCAGTGTAGCCCTCCTTGCTGTCCCCTTGTGGTTACTAGGGGAACAAGACTCACTTCAACCTCCCACGTGAAGCCCTTTCCAACAATCACAGACAGAAAGGCCAGGTCCCTGCTTGATGCTCACATGATGCTCCATAGAGATTTCCAAGAACCCGTTTCTATGCCTGTCTGGCTACTTGTATTTCTAGTCTAGCATCTGCATCACCTAGGAACTGGATAGAATAAGCCCCACTCTTGACCTGTTGACTAAACATCTATGAATATATTATTCAGGTAATTCAGGTGTTTATGTGCATTTATGCTAATGTATGAAAAGCCCATTCTGTATTATTTGACCCCAAACTCTAGAATCAAAGCTCAGACGTCATTATGTACATAAGGAATAGATTAGTGTCCAATAATGTGATCTGTGTTTAATAAATGTTTTTGATTAGATTATCCACCATCTATTATACAATTTTAGCTTCTTGTGTAACTAATTCCTCTCTTCATGCACGTTCCTTGGTTTGGGAATTAAAAACAAACACTTTTCAACATTAAACTTGTTTTTTGTTTGTTTTGTGTTAAAGTAATAACTACCATCTTTGTCCACAGAGGCTCCTGGGAAGCTTTAAGAATATCAGTGATGTTCACTAGAAACAAGATCACAGACATTTTTTACTTAAATTTTTATCTGATGTGTTTCTATGTTGAAGCTTAGGTGATCTGTTGATGCTAGGCTGAATTAAGATAAAGAACAGTCAGCTACTTGCTTTGGACATAGGGAGAAGTTGATTACTTGGTCCCCTTAGATCTGTCACCCTCTGTATCTTTTGACATCTTTTTACTTCAGATGTTCAGATATGAGCTTAGCTATTCGTAAAACGTGTGATTGTCCAGGAAAGCTCAGCGTTTCCAGATTTGGGGCCTTTTTTTTTCTAGAGTGAAGGCTTAGCTGTAAGTCTAAACATTATAAGAAAACTAAAACCCCAAATTCATAATTTACTTTTATTTATTTTAGTTTTTCTTCCCATTACTCAGTATAAATACATTCATGTCTCTGTCTGACTCTTGGATTTTGTTACTTAAAAGGTGATTACATTTAGTCTGTGGTAGCAACCAGGATCCACAAAGCATATGATTACCCTCTTCCCGTTACTATTTTAAATACAGCATAATACAGAAAGAAAGAAAAGAAAAGACAACCATGTGCGTAAATGCGGTGGTTAGATCTGGAGTCAGACACCTCTGACGTGAGCCAGGGCTCAGCTGTTCAAAAGGGGAAAAAAATGCTTACTCCATCCTTTACACGTCTTTGTCAGGGGCATAGTAAATCTTTTGGTGTTCACAAGTATTTGTAGAGCAAATAAATGATCAAAGGTTAAAGCAGTGCTGTCTAGATAGGGCAGTATTTGAATCTAATATGGTATTGCTCACTGCATCCGGTAGACAGCACTACATATAGGTGCTGTTCTGATTATTTTTATGTTAACATTAAATACAAAGAAAAAATAAGCTTCAGAACATGTAGTACATGCTCAGAATGTTACTCTCTAAAACTCTTTTTTCCATGAGTACAGTTTTTTTCAAACTGTGAGGAAAAAAATACAACATGAGATTTACTCTCAACACATTTCAAATGTGCCATACTGTACATGCACTTTTTATAAGTAAATTGTTTATAAGAAAATATATGAAGAGGTACCTCCTACTTTAATTGAAGGAGCATAAATCATTTAAGTTTAGTTGGGTTTGGGTTTTAAAATGCATTTAAGGTACAGGAGCTACTTAGCTATTGGGTTAATTACAAATGAAATCTCCACAAGTAAAAGAGATTCTACATCTACATGTTTTTATGATTGAGGAAACTGAGGTTAGTTAACTTACCTGTGACAAAAAAATGATCAGTCAACTCTGGACCAAGTTCACTGAGAGAACAGTTTAACTCCAAAGCCTCTACTTTCCTTCTTTTTTAAAGATTTATTATGTACAATGTTCTGTCTGCATGTATCCCTGCTTGCCAGAAGAGGGCACCAGATCTTATTATAAATGGTTGTTGGGAGTTGAACTCAGAACTTCTGGAAGTTAAGAGTTAAGAGCCTGTGCTCTTAGCCTCTAAGTCATTTCTCCAGCCCCTCAAAGCCTCTATTTTCAAACATTATATTGTACTCATTAATAACAGTAACATCACCTTTTTATTGAGCACTTGCATGATAGCTAGGCACTGTGTTAGTGTTTTCCATATCTTGTCACCTAATCTTTACATCCACTGTGTAAAGTCTGTATGATTGATTCCATTTTGCCAGATGAAATTAAAACTTAGGTCAAATACCCTCTTTGTTCAGTCTCACATACTTGAAATTGGGTAATGGGGATCTATTAGGATGTAAGGTCAAAGCCCATATTCTCTTTTTGTTTGTTTTGTTTGTGTTTTTGTTTTTGTTTTTGTTTTTGTTTTTGTTTTTTGAGACAGGGTTTCTCTGTGTAGCTTTGTGCCTTCCCTGGAACTTACTCTGTAGCCCAGGCTGGCCTCGAACTCACAGAGATCTGCCTGGCTCTGCCTCCTGAGTGCTGGGATTAAAGGCATGCAGCACCACCACCACCACCACCACCACCACCACCACCAACAACAACAACAACAACAACAACAACAACACCGCTCCGCTCAAAGCCCATATTCTATGTTTGGCTCTTCTTACACAGATGTAACAAGGTCTTACCTATGAGTGCCAGAGGGAAAAAATGGAAAAAGTGTTGTCTTGAAGCTGACAACCTCTGATTCTAGGCATAGCTACTTCAAAGGGAGGCCTGAGCAAAAGGGTACACCCAGACAGATGAAAATGACCACATAACTTTAATTCTTTGGAAGTTCCACTTTCTGTGACTGTATTTAGCCTACTGCCAAAGAACTTTCCCAGCCCAGTGTAACATCCCCTTTAGGCAGAGAGCTTGGGGAGAAGAGAAGACAAATCCTGAGGTAAAGACTGGAATTACCAGAGGAAATAAATATGTGTGCTGGGGATAAACCAATGTATGTCTCTTTGCCACTATTCCAGAGGGAGGCATGTGCCAAAATAACTTGAGAGTATTTTTCAAAGTATATATGACCCTCTACTTAGAAAGCCTATATATGTTGAGTGTGCAAAACATTAAAAGTGAAAGAGTGGATCAAAGAAAGGGTGATCCCACTTCAAAACAACAACAAAAACCAAAGATCTCTTTTTACTGAGAAGAAATCTTGCTGTTAGGTTACAAAACCAAGACCTGAAATAGTGTTCCCATTGTGTACGCCTTTGTTTAAAAAAACAAAAAAAAACAAAAAACAAAAAAACAGGGTGATGTATGTATGTTTGTGTATGTGTGTTTTACATAAAGAACCACTGCTAAGTTACCCATGTTCCTGTAAATAATCCTTATTAAAGTCACTGCCACCCACACACACAAAACACTCACAAAAGCAGATGGGGATTAGTTTGGAAGAGGAAAGATCAACAGAAGTAGGATGGGCACAATAGAAGGTAATGGTGAATCTGATCAAAATGCCTTGTATTCATGTATGGAAAAGTCATGATGAAACCCATTCTTATAAGAACCACTGAAAGAGGAAAGGAAATTATATACAGGAAGGAAGTAGATGAAGGTGATGGGGGCCAGAAGTATGACTGACAAAAATGGAACCCTCAAACAGCAAAATAATGAGAATGGAATTTCATACCTCTTAAAGTTCTGATCTTTAAACTTTGTAAATGGATTATCTACTTCAAAACAAAAGTTGAATGTTAAAAACAAAAAATGTTGGAAAACAAAAGATAAAAAGAAACAGCAAGTAGAACTGCTTCTTCAAAAACCAGTTAGGCAAGGTTTTTGTTTTTCATTTTTGAAATGGAACTCAGGGAAGGCAAGGATTAGTGCTCAGAGACAGCTGGAAAGAGGTGACCTTTGGCTCCATACCAAAGACTGGCCCTGGGGCCCAGAGAGGAAGATTGTTGCTTAATGACCAATTGGAGCAGTGGCGTTGAAGAAGAACTTCTAACTTGATTAATGGATAAAAAGTAAGCAGCTAACAACTTTTATTGTTGCTCCTCTACACCTCTTAAGAATGATTGCTACCACCGTCCATGGCACTTAACTTCCCAAGGGTGCTTTTAGTCTTGTCACAGTCCTTAGGTGTTTCTTTATTCACACCCTCCCTGTTCTTGTTTCCCTTATTCTTTTTTAAAAATTTAAAATCATGTAAAAAATGTATGTGTATGGGTGTTTTGCCCACATGTATGTATGTGCACTTTCATGCCTGGTACCTGCAGAGGTCAGAAGAGGGCGCTGGATCCCCTGAACCGGAGTTACAGGTAAGCCACCATTATGGACATTAGAAACTGAATCCAGGTCTGGAAGAGCAACAAATGCTCTTAATCACTGAGCCATTTCACCAGGCCCTCTCCCTTATTGTTTAAAATGTCTCCCTAGACTGATTCCTTACGTGGATAACTGTTCTTTTTGACCAGTACTTTGATAGAGTCCAATTTTCCAATTTTAGGACTTAGTCTCTTTATCTAGATCCTCTAGCTTTCCTTTACCCTTCTCCACCTCATTTGTCAATCATGTCCAGGTGTGCAGCGCCTGTCTACTTTTGATACTTTTGAGCAAGAGGATGGATGACTGAGTTCAAGGTTACTGTGGGCTATATAATGAGAACTTTTCTCAAAACAAACAAACAAATGAAGAGCAAAAGAGTCTAAAGTTCTCTATTCTCATCTCTATGGGGTTTTTCTAGGTATTTTTTGAGACAGGGTCTCACTACGTAGCCCTTGTAGGCCTAGAATTCACTATGTAGATCAGGCTGGCCTCCAACTCACAGAGATTAACCTACTGAGGTTAAAGGGGTACACCACCATGCCTGGTTAATCTAGATTTTATTTTGAGCCATTAACTTAATACCAAATTTTTAACAAGCACTCATTATAACTTCTGAACTGGGAGATGAGCACTATTTGTATCTAACCAGCTATGTAAAACTCAATTTTCCGCCAGGTGGTGGTGGCACAGGCTTTTAATCCCAGCACTTGGGAGGCAGAGGCAGGCGGATCTTTGTGAGTTCGAGGCCAGCCTGGTCTATAGAGCAAGATCCAGGACAGGCACCAAAACTACACAGAGAAACCCTGTCGCAAAACAAAAAAGAAACTCAATTTTCCTTTTGATAAAAGATGTTAGAAAAACAAACAAGTAGGGAGACAATTATTAAGTATCATATTTCCTCATACAGCACCAAAAGTGCCATATTAGGAACTCTCTGGGAGCTGGAAGGACAGGAAGAGATAAAAAATGTTGGGAAAGTAAGGGTAGTATTTCATCTGTGGTCACATTTTTGTCCTAAGTCAATGCAAGATGTAGCAAAGGAAAAAATTCCTGAGACTGGAGATTAAATCTGGAGATTCTGGTTCAGATAGCAAAGGAGGCTTTGAAAATGGGCAAAGTCAGTA